CTGGCCGGGATTTATGAGATGGAAAGTGAAATTTGGCAGCTAATCGGAATGTCCCTCTCTTTCTCTCCATTGCAGGCTCTCCATTTGGGTCTTGGTCTTGTCACCCTGATTTTGGCGTCTTGGCTGGCCTTGTCCACGGCGCAATCCCAGGAGAGGATTGGAAGATCGGCGTTGCCGGCCCAACCGGCGGATCATCTGGTGCCGCCTCCACTGCCCATTCCCCAGCGATTAACGCACGCTGGAGCGGGATCTCCTTCGGCGGTTGCACCTTCCGTTGCTCCAGTTGCTTCAGTGGCTCCAGTTGCCAATCCCGAAGCCACTGGCTTCATGACCCGTGTGGCCAGATGGTTTGGCCTGGGTGGCGGCGGATCATCGCCCAAGGATCAGCAACTGGGGGCCAGCAACTCGTTGAGCTATGCCTATCCCAAGCCAGCTGCAGGTGGCTTCGATGCGGGCGGCAAGCCCTGCAGCCTGTGCAACAAGTATCCCTGGGTGCCCATGGTGGGTCAGCAGCAGCAGCAGCAGCAGCAGCAGTTGCATCCGCAGCAGCTCAACAGCCAGCTGCAAGTGCAGCAGCAACAACTGCAGCATCTGCCGCAGCAGCAGCAGCAGCAGCAACATCACCCGCAGCAACAGCTGCTGCAACATCACCAGCAGCAACAACAACAACAACAACAACAACTGCTGCAACATCCCCAGCAGCAACATGCAACATGGCAGCAGCAACAACCGCTGGCCCAGGCCTCGCAGCAACGTCAGCGGGCGGTGCAATTCCTTCAAGGCTCCGGACAGAGTGTCTTCCTGCCCTTGGTGGTGCCACTGCCCCCACTGTACAATGCCCAGCCCTTCCGGCCGGTGCCATCGCCTCATCCACATCCTCATCCCCATCCTAATCCGCATCCTCATCCTCATCCTCATCCGCACAAGGAGAATGCGGTGGCCCAGTCGGAGGTGAGATCAGTGCCAGTTTCCCCACCACAACTGGCAACTCCTGCCCCTCAAGGGCCCAGCACCTCCAGCTTCGAGATTGTGCAGAGCCACCAGGTGACGGACTTCGTGACCTCCGTGGAGTACCCGGCCACCTTTGTGCAGTCGCATGCCATCGATTTGGGTGGTCAGCAGGTCAATGCCGAGCGGGAAGCGCAGCCGGACATCAGTACAGTGCGCTACCAGCTGGAGGATCTGAGCAGTGGCCAGCTGCATCAGCATTTGCCCGCCTCGCAGCTGCTCACGGAGATTGGGCAGTTTGCGGAGTCCACCACACAGCCACCGGCGGCGGATAACTACCCAGCGGCCTCCTCCCAACAGCAACTGCAGCAGGAACAGGAACAGGAACAGGAGCAGGAACAATCCTTCTACTATGCCGAGCAATTCCAGGAGGAGACGAGCACCATAACGTACAGCACCACTACGGATTTACCCATTACGACGACAATTGCGCCACCAGCGTCACCTGTCATTGAGCTGAACAACCATTTGGCTGCAGTGCAGCATCATCGCCAGGGCATCGGAAGGGGCAGGGAAACGCCCAAGCGTCTGCTGGATTCACCCATTAACCACGCCCCCTTGACAGGAGCAGGAGCAGGAGCTGGAGTTGGAGCAGGAGGAGGAGTGGGGGGGTGGGCGACCCTTCACCCGCGATCCCGCCGATCTTGGCTTCCGTCTCAGCCAGGTGTACACGCCCACACAGCCACCGACGCCCACTTCCACATACGGCGCCATCGATGCCAGTGGACAGTTTGCCGGCATGGCACCGCCAAGTCCGCAGCAGGTGATCATACCCTATACCACCAAGCAGCGACCACGCCCCTTCGAGAGCTGGACGCCCTCAAGGCAGTTGAACCACCACCAACCGAAACCGAATTCCCAGCAGAATCACAATCAGAATCACTATCACAATCGAAATCAGAATCCTCACCATGGCAACGACCTGGAGGAGGAGCCACATGAGCAGCAGGAGTCGAAACTAGCCACAGCCACGGTGACGGCACCACCACTGCCACCCAACTCGCGACGCACCACCAAATACCTGACCAAGATCCTGGCCTCCAATCTGAGGGAGCTGCTCAAACGGGAGCGGGAGACCAAGCGATTGCTGCCCGGCCAGGGATTGGGCGTGGACATCTCACGGCTGCAGCACAACATCGATGGATGGACGGAGCAGGAGTACAACTCCCTGTCCCATCGGCCCAGCACGCCCACCATTCGGGGCAGATCCAAGCACATACCCTCCGAGTATCTGACCACCACCACGACGACCACCACACCATCACCCACTTCGTTGAGGGACCAACACCAACAACAACACCATCACTTTCAGCGCCAGTCGAAGACCACGCGGGGCGAGGGCTTCGAGCTGGGTGCCGCTCCACCCACCGATGCCGGCGATCTGTCCACCTCTATCAACAATCTGGAGCAACTGCATCTGCTGGGCGAGCGCGGCGCAAAGGGCTTCCAGCCCATCGAGGACAATCGCCTGCACTTCGACTACTACGATGCTCAGCAGCGGCCGAGATCCACCGCGGCCATGACCAGCAGTAGCACTAGCACCACCACCACCAGCACCACCACCTCGCCACCCAGCACAACGACAGCGGTGGCTCCGCTCTATGTGCGCAGCACGCCGGCGCCCAAGGAGTTGTGGAAACAGGCCCAAGTGGCCATCCTGCCGCAGACCAACGAGAAGGTCTATGTGGTCACGCCACAGCCGCGCCACCAGGAGCACCACCCAGTGGAGCAGAAGCAGGAGCAGGAGCATCGGGATCGGGATCGGGATCGACACGAGGCCTCCGCCTCTGCTCCGAGACCCGTTTACCAGACGCCAGCGCCGCGGTTTCCACGGATGCGGCCCACTCCAGGTAAATGTGGCGAAATTAAACTATTGTTACATGATACCACGAAACTATCAAAATAAATCTTATGTAATTTAAGAACAAGGCCTTGGCCTACAGTTGAAGAAATGAATCTAAAAAGTATGTCTAGGATATATTATTTAGTCTTGAATTAATACTTATACTTTGATACTATGTGAAGTCTATATTCAAAAACTTTTCATTTTTATTAAGAGGATAATTTTTGTTTTTTGGAGTCCTTTTTGTAAATATTGATTTTTTTAGTCCCGTCCTCATTTGACTGTAAATACAATTTACTTAAAATATTTTTAAAGCAGGGACAGAAATTAGCCATATTTTTTGTTTTGATTTTCGAATTAAATAATAAGTCATTAAATAATAGCCTTGCGATGATAGTAATTGATTACGTTTTCTAATCCGCAATTAACATAATTTATATTTTTTTTATTTTTTTTATTATATTTGAGCAATAATTTTTGCTTGCACATAATTATTATGTTCTGATAAATAAAGTAACAGGAAAATAATAATTATTTAATAAACTAAATTCTTATTAAACAAAATAAAATACAAAAATAATGATTAGCGACCATAATGATTACGATTTATTTTTTTGCCGCAGCTTTAGTTGGTTAACAAGATCTAAATGATATAAATAACATAATTACAAAGTCAAATATGAAATAATGTAAGATTTTTGTTCCATTCCTTCGCAAGATTTAGATTTAGATTTTTCTAAAAATATAAAACAATGTAGTTTTTTTTTTAATAACTTGAGATAGTAAGTCGAAGAGCCAAAAACTAGTAAATACAAAAACAACTTTTGTTGTTGTTCTATAATGTGAAGATATAAATTAAATTAAGTAAGTGACCAATAACGCATATTCTAAAACATACGGAAAGCTGCTGTTTTGAGGTATTTTTCTTATAGGTAGGAATTCAGTATTCTATACTAATACTTTGTTGTCTCTGATTACTGTCTGCCTCAATTAGCAGGTGAAGTAAAGTCGGCCACGCCCACCAGTTCGTCACAGCTGAGAAACTATACGCCGGACATTTTTGGACTGATGGGACTGTCCGCTTTTGTGCCGGCGGAACCCGTGGAGATAATCGACGGAAATTCCAAAGTAAATCGCAACTCACCTCGTCTAGACATGTAATCGAGCTTCTCTCTTGTCTTCACCACACCACAACACATGATTCACCACATTTCACCTTACTGCAACTAAATCATTCCCACCACCTGCACCACCCACAATACACCATTCACCATTCACCACACACCACAGGTCAACACGATAGTGACGGCAGCCCCGACGGCGGCTGCACTGCAACGACCCACAGCGAAACCCATGATGTCGCCCTCGCCCAGATAGAGGTCATGGCCGAGGTCAAGGGAAAAGGTCAACCCTCAACCCCCCTACCTATTGTAATATATTTCCCCCTCCCCCCCGGCCACCCCTTCAGCCACCCGAGGATGCAAGCTAGTTTATAGAGCCAAGTCTTTGGAAGTGCTACGATAAGAGAGATCCGATCCCGAATCACAGTTAGAGTATTTTCGCATTTGGTAGCTTTAATGAGAGACGAGGAGCAGAGGACCATGATGAGTATCCATGAGGACAGAGAACCAAAGGAAGAGTGGATGGAGCTACCCCTAGATTATAACCTCGAAAAGATTCGAATTTTTTATTTTTTTTTTTTTTAGCAATCTCTGATATTTTCGCGGGTTTCCCTTCGCTAGTTGTATGTAGTTCTATGTATAAATATCTATTATATCTATTTCAATCTATACGGAAAGTTGGTTGTCAGGCGATTGACAACGCTGCAATCGATGAAGCAACCCAAAAATAGCAAAAATGAATTGAACGAATAAAATACAATAAATCAAAGTCATTTTAATGTACCTACTCTAATTTGTAAGTATAATTGAATAAAAATAAAATATCATCGGACTTTTATTATATAAAAACAGCAAGTATTATTTTTTTGTTATTTGAATTTAATTTTTAAGCTTCAATTTTACAAATCTTATTAAAGAACCCATTATAATGAACATAAAAGATTACCCCAAAAGTATACCATCAAAAACTGGCCAAATTTTGTGTGAATTGAGCACACTTCTGGGGATACATAGAATGCAGAACGTCATTATTGTTTTGGCACATTTATTATACAAAACTTGTTCTTAAAGCTAGCAAAAAAAAATGTTGATCCTATGCTAAAATGTCTTTGAGTTGGATACCGCCATCTGAGGACCTGCTCAGCTGTCCACCAGGCGCCGCTTGCGACGATGTCGCCGAACTAGAGCCTCCAGAGTCCAGGAAGCAGCCGCCACGAAGGACATCATGTTCAGACAGTGCAGGGTCACTGAATAGTTGTAGCGATCACGCACCAAGCCTGTTTTTATAAAATAAAATACAAAAATATTATTATAAAATGGAAGTAAAATGAATCTTATTTTGTAACGAAAATAAACCGATTCGATAAATTCGAAGTCAATTCTTCAAAAACAATATTATCTTTTTTGAGAATATAAATTTAATACATTTTCAATATTAAATACCATTAAAAGATTTGTAATATCAAAATTAATAAATAATTTTAAATTGTGAAGATTATATTTGTTATGTTCAAAACTATTTGTATAATATTATTATTTAAAATATCAAATTAACCAACACTTCTGGTCCTAACCTATATTTTTACACTTAAACCTTTTTTAATTCGAGAAATAGGTAAAAAATCAATATGATTCATTTTTAAAAATGTTATGTTTTCAATTTCAAAATTATTTAGGATAATTTATCCAAACTATAAAGCATGAAATTTACCGTTTTTTTCGAGAACATCAATTAAATCTTTAATATAAAATATACATTTTAGCACAATAGCGTAATGTTATATTTGGTTTAATGACTTATTTATAAGACAGAATATCAAGTTGATTTTCTTAGTGTGCAAAATTATATATCAAATATATGCACATCTTTTATTATTTTGATGCGCCTATGGATCTTGATTAAAAGATTAATCCTTTTTAATTTGAGATAAAAATATTGAGAACAATATAGTTATTTTTAAAATCAAATTAAAAGAAGATCAATTTGATCCTTTTTATGATCAAAATGATATAAACACTCTACGTATTTGTAAAAAGATCGCATAATGGTCGTCCATAATGGCTTTGTTCATATTTCCTGTGCGTGCCAAAACCACTCACCGACAAATGGGCCGCCGATCAGGGTGAATAGTCCGGAGATCAGGAGCTGCAGTCCGGAGGCACCGGGCAGCCGGTTGAGCGGCACGTAGCCGGGTATGATCAGGGGCCAGAAGATGGTGCGCACACCCTTGCAGAGTCCGATCCACACGAAGCTGCCGAGGATGAGGCTGTAGGAGCGCGTGCAGGCCACCACCGTGCGACCGAGGGCGATGCCCACCACGCCGATGAGGAAGAAGACCCGGTTGTCCCACGGAATCTTCTCGGTGAGGAAGGGCACCAGGAAGCGCATGGTGATGTCCAGTCCGGCCAGCAGCGACATGGCCAGCGTGATCTGCGGCGTGTCGAACCCAAAGTCAGCCAGGATGAAGGGCGTTAGGATGGAGAAGTTGAGCTCCCCAAAATTGATGATCGTGAGTCCGGCCACCAAATTTACGAAGGTGAAATCGCGCAGCAGATCCAGGTCGAAGAAGGTCACCACTTTGGCCAGGAAGCTCATCTGGGGGTCGTGGAGTGGTGCCTCCACTTCGGCCTCCTTTTCCTTTTGGTTGTTATTGTGCTGACCATGCTCCTCCCTTAACTGGGCGCATCGGCAGTACAACTTGGCCTCCAGATTGGACTCCACCCGCTCCCGGCGAAAGTTGTTGGGTCGCAGGAACTCCTCCGCTTCGTTTGCGTTCTGCTCCTCGCTAATGGGGCAGTGCAATCGCTGGGTCTGCTCCAGATCCTTGGAACTCGAAATGGTGCGGAATCGGATGCGGCCCGAGGTGAGGGACAGACGGGATCCGTACCAGCCGTCATTGGCCCGCGAGAGCATCGGAGTGCCGGGCTCACAGATCTCGTAGCCGGGACGCTGGGCATCGTCGTCCTGGCACAAATATTGGCTGGAGAAGATCCCACCCGGTTCGCGCTTCTGCTGCCAGGCACAGTGGGCACACAGTGGCTCCGGCTGCTGCTCCTGGTCCGGAGGATCCACCGGCGTATGGATCCTCACATGGTAGCGAACCGGCTGGTAGATCAGCGCACAAACGAACGCGTGCAACGAGATGGCCGCAAAGAGCAGAGTCGTTCCCTGCACCCCATAGATGGTCAGCATGAAGGTGACCAGGTGCGGCAGGAAGATCGGACCCAGCCCAGTTATTGTCCACGAGAATCCCGCCGCCCGACGACGCTTCTGCTGGAAGTACGTGTTGATCGCCAGCGACGAGGCCGACACACTGATGCCCATTCCGAAGCCTAAGGATCGAGATAGAGGGCACATTTACATAAATTACTTTAAAATTAATGTATCAGGATTACAACGAAATCATTTTTTGTATTTAACAATAGAATGCCTAAAACACCTTCGGAGTAAAACCCTTTTTTTAGTAAAAAAAACCAACACAAGACATTGTATATCTTAGGTCGCATTAATCCGATTTACTAAATTTTTTTAATTATTTATTATTTCCCCAAAGAGAAGTACTTAACTGGCGGTTAGTAGAAATAAAGAAAAAGTCCAAGAAAAAGATATATAGAAAAATTAAAATATAAATAAATTTGACATACAAAAATAAAATGAAACAATAATTAACGTATTAAATAAATTAAGTCTCAATATCTGGGGTTGCATTAATCCGATTCAATTAATTTTATAAAATTTATTTCTCCATAGCCCATGACAAAATATATGACAAATTCTAAAAAGGGAAAAATATTTATATTGGAAATTACATGAATTAAATGAATTAACCACCATTATTAGGTAACATTGGTAGTTAAACACAGATGTGACATATTTATTCAAATTTTGACATTTAATTATTATTTTTAATTAAATAATTTTTAATTTGAAAAATCTTGAAATTTTAAGCTTAGTTTTATTTAAAGCTCAAGGTCTTATTGTCATTATTATTTGGTCGATTGTTCTATGCAAACGATGGTCTGGCCTGCTTTTTTCGCGGACTTAAGCCCAATGGAGAATATATGGGGCATCTTAGTAAGACGGTTAAATGCTAATAACCGTCAGTATATTAACACTGAAGAGCTAAAGACTTCAATTTTAGCCGAATGGGCAAGACTCAAAGTCAGCCTACTAAAAAAATTAGCTAGAGTCTGCTGAAAAAAATATTATTTTGTGTTGCAAAATCAAATGGAGCTCCGATTGACTATTAAAAAATGTAAATCAGCCAAATATCTTACACATAAAATTTATTTACGCCTAAATTAAAATATAAGTGAAATATGTCTTATAATTATGAAACGCATCATAATAAGTGTTTGTTGTTAGTTTTGTAAAGAATATAAATATCTATAATATTTGTTTTATTGAAATCTTCACAACGTTATAGCGATGCCATAAATACATAATCACTTCGATACTATTATAATTAATAAAAATATTTGTAAAATTTTTAGTGTCTTATGATTTTGAAATGAACCTTGTATATATGTATTAGGCTTTAATTAAAATCCTAACTAAAAAGCTTTCCATAATTAAAATAAATCATTTGATATGTCAAGAGTTTATCCTAAAAACCATAAATCACTCACCAAACAGAAGGGCGTAGGCAACCATATAGCCCAGGAAGGTTTCACAGAAGGCGGTCAGTACGATGCCGCTCGAAATGAGAAGTGCACCGGCCATCGCCACCTGCCGAAAGGTGAACCTCCGGAACATCGGTCCATTCAGCAGACCCGTACAGGCCGATACGGCCGGATTTGTGTTGATGATGGCCGTGATCTGGGAACTGGACATGCCCAGATCAGACAGTCGCTCCCTGAACAGGAAGCCAAACTGTTGCAGGCAGGGGTAAATGGAGAGCTGTAAAGGAAATATATATAAGTGCTTCGAAATGTGATTTTCGGACTATTGCAATGGTCTTTAATATATTGTAGCTTAGGTCGATACTGACATGCTTTGTTTTTAAAACACTGTTGCAAATAATATAGGAATAAAAATATAATAAAATAAGGGAACAAAGTATAATGTATATATATTCTTCTGTCTGTCTTTCTGTCCGTTCGTCCCGTTGATTTTTTTTTAGTTCTTTGAGATATTTTAATGGTTCGATGATTCAGAATTATGGTTTAAATTTTATTTGAGTTGGATTTACTACTATTTCATATAGCTCCCATCAACCGGAATATTATAAACAAATACATTAAAAACGTCTAACTCCTCTATTTTTAGATTTTTTCCAAAAATTCTTTTGGACATATTTATAATTTGATAGTCCATATTTACGCTTTTAATTTGATTCAAATCGGAAAACGATTTCATATAGCTGCCGTTGAAACGATTGAATAATTAAGCTAAAAAACATCTACATAGGTTCTATGTTTTTATACATATACGCATATAAATCGAAATTAAAGTGCTTTCAAGAATATTTAAATTTTGCAACAGCTGCAAGGGTATATAAGCTTCGGATTGCCGAAGTAAGCTTCATTTCTTTTGTTTTTAATGTTTTTATTAAATCTTTTATTTACTTTTATTTATTTATTCGTTCTTAAATTGTCCACATTGCATACAATCTGTCTTTATTAAAACACCTCTCCAAGAGGCCTGTTGGTACTTCAAGCCAAACATCTATTCAAAATTCAATATCACACTACCCTTCCATACTATATTCCATACTATATTCCATTAAATTTTTAAAATTAAGGAACTCATTTATGGGTAGAGCTGAAATAATGCCAGCGGTTTTTTCAATTTTTTTTATGAAGAACAATGTTAACACGTTTTATTAATTTTCTGACAATATTTACAAGGAAATCGTTCGATCAATTATGTCGTAAGACAGATATTATTCATGTATAAGTTAATTCAATACTTAATAATGTAAAACCGATATATTTTGTTTAATTTATATATCGAAGACTCTAAAACTGCAGTTTATTTCGATACTTTCGTGGTATCAATTTAATAATCATATTATTGATTAATTTTGTCATACCCTTTAATTTAAAATGCATGTAACAATAGTTCAGTTTCTATGACCATTTCCTTTGGGGTTTATATAATGCTTTAACTATTTAAAGATCATCAATAGAGCTCAATTGGCTGACTTTTACCTACATTGGAAACGCCAGCGGCGATGCAGACGAGCCACGCCCATCCCGCGTCGGGGGCCACGAAGTCCTCGCCCAGGTCGCTTTTGTCATGCTTGTTGTAGTACCGCCTCCGGGAAGCTCTGGGCATCGGCCGGGTGGTGTCCTGGTAGACCCTCTTCTCCATGGCAGCCACTCACTGAAAACGATCTAAAGGAGAATCCAAATGAGTGACAGATTGTGGTGACCCTGACGATTCCAACACGAGGATCATGGTGACCCTGACGATGCCATTGGCCAATGAAATGGTGCCATGAAATGAGGAAATGATATGGGGGAAAATTCCATTGAATCGCGAGTTCGTGAATGATTTACGGCAATTATAGTACTGGACTGGACGCAATACGCTAACGATCACTTGTCCGCAATTAACCGCATACGGGCAATGAAGATGCGGCCAAAGCAAAGCGAAGTTCGCCGGCATAGTGCTGTAGTACTACTACATAGTGTTGTTGCCAGCGGACAGCGGTCGGATGACGACCAGAGCCGGGTTCACGGCTGGATGCCAAGAATTGCGAAATCTCCGGCTCTCTTCACCTGCGGCTTTCTTATCAGCAGCACCGTCATGTGACAGATTCCGACCCAGAGACGCAGACCAAATCAAAAGTTAGCGCGCAAATTGTGAATCATGTTATTGTCCTCTATGGTTTGTGCACAGAAAAAAGTTTTCTTTGTTAAAACAACGAAATTTTTCAGTAAATTTACATGAACAACATTTTTGATCCTTGTATTTTGCTTGTACAACTTTGTTTTGAATTGACGGTTGAATTAATCACAATAAAATTCTTAACTTTTTGTATTAACTTGTTTTTGTAGTTCGTTTTTGCCTACTTTTACATATCATTGTACATATATTTAGTTATTAAGTTGTTTAGCTAACTGTAAGTCATTATAAAGCTACTATGGAACATCTTAAGCACTTATAATTCTCAACTGGTTCTAGCGCGCCATGCAAAAAAAAGTCTTACAAGTCAGAAGAATTGGTTGATTAAGTAAGAGATTTTTCCCTGTGCAGAGTGTCGCGATTCCGAAGAGCAACCCCGGCCCAAGGTCATGGGTGTCTGAGTGTCCGTTAGATGACCACTTATCAGTAGTTCGATGCTATATTCCGTAGTGCGAACGATCCGATCCCAAATCACTCTACGGTTAGCCATTTATTGCAGGCGTTGTGTCCAGATTCCGGGAGACTCCAGTTTCTAGATGCGTTGGAGTGTGCATAAAAGCACACAATTTATGGTGAATTGGGGTGGAAAAAAATGGGCCAACAATTCACTTGGAAACTAAAGACAATAGATAGGGAGAAACCAGGCCAAAGTGATGGTTATTGATAATGAACATCAGTAATCAATACAATTAAGATTGGAGCTTAATACTTAAGCAAATAAGGTAAATAAAAACGAGAACGAATTGTTCTTTCGTCGTCACTAATCAATTGTGAGAGTTGAGGTACGTAAAAATCCGATAATCAATTCAACTGATAGGGAAAGGGAATGAATGACGAATCAATAAAACTAATAAAACTAAAGACCTCATTTAGCGACAGTTAAGGTGCTTAAATCTGATAACAAATTCAACGGATATCAAATTCGGTCTGGACAGCAATTACGATTAGTACAACACAATTATAAAAAATTAATTTAGAGTAATATGTTTTCAAATATTTAACAATGTTTTAAAATTTTGATAACAAACTCAACTGATAGCAAATACGGTCTTGACAACTAGTTTGATCAATACAATCCAATACAATTGAGAGAATAATTGAAATTGAGTATACAAAATTGTAAAACATTCCACTAATAATTGTTTTGTGTCAATCATTTTAGATTTATTTTGGCAACTTTTTAATCAACCCAATTAGCATGCCTACTCAAATGAACGGAATCGATGCTAACAAGATGTTTAAGAAAATGTTTGAGTAAAGTTAACACTTTTTCAGTTAGTAATCTGTAACGTTATATACTATATACTGCACGATATAGTTCGTAATTTCTATGCAACAATGCTACCAACACGTTTTCACAATCGAACGGATAGTTTAAAGTATATACTTTTTCAATTTTTGGTAATTATTGCAGTGCAGTTAAAATTTTCATTAGTCGTTGCCTCGAAGTTACAGAAAACATGGCATTTGCACGTTGCTCGTAACTCTTTTGACAATTTGTCAAAATTTAATTACATATTAACTAATGTTGTAGACCAATTTTTAATAAGCAAAAATATTGCTTTGCCCATAATTAAGAGAAAATATTTTTTAGCTATTGATATACGACTTATCCAAATCTCTGTGGATTAAATTTGCCACATGCTGGGGTCTTTTGCCAATAAGCTTGGAAAAGCTAATCACCTCCAAGCTCTTCGTTCACTCAAGTTGATAGAAAACAATTGGCACAGCCCTAGATACAGATACTGATCAAGATAAGCAAAGCCCAGTGACTATGGATCCATCGATAGTGGTGGATAGTGATAAGATTGCGATGACGACCGGTTACATGAATCCGGGCAGTTTGGCTCCTTCTCGCCCTCAACTCATAGCCACATATTTTGCTAACAGCTGTGCTTCCAGATAGCCAAAGATTAGGTTACTGACGTTCCCGCCACTGACTGGTTTATAATAATATTAAAAATGTCAATGATAAGGAGCTACTGATGTTTTCCCAATTTTATTTATTTATTATATGATAAAGTCGATAAAAAGGCGAGGGCTTTTATTGGTCTCGAATTATTTGCCATTCCAGCACAGCACGTTTAATTAACTAAGTAATAACTAGAGAAATTGTGACTAGTCCTTGATAAATAAGAGCTAGCTCGTCGCATTGTGATAATTAACAAATATATAATATTAATATTAATGGCTTTAAATAAATAATTAAACAATCATAATGACCTATATTTTCGATCAAAAAATTTCAATGGTAAAACGATTTATATTTTAGCATTAAAAAATAAAAATATGTATCTTTAAGATCATTGCTTTTGTTAATTTTAATGTTTATTTCGTTCAAAATTAACAAGAGTAATGCAATAATAGTCCGGTAGGAATATATAAAACATTTTGGATTTTGCTAATAAGTATCTTAATATACATATATTCAAAGTTAGTATTGCTACAATAAATTTATATTTTTCTAGCTTTGATTTTCATCCATTGCCGTATTTAGTCCTTTTATAAATGAGTATATTATTATTATTTTTATTTGACCAATTGATTTTATTATCTGAAAATTGAATTTAGATTTAAGCCCTATTTAACCGAAGAAAGTGCATTTAAATCTAATATTTTGAACATTATTTAAAGTATTTTAAATATCTTATTATTAAATACAAAATGTTGAATTCAATGGTCACATATTATTTTACATTTTTCCATTTTGTAATTAGTGTACGATGGAATAGAAATTAGTTCCGGATATTGAATGATTTCTTTGACCGAGGGGCTGGGTTGAAACATTTTTATAATAAATTGGCTTTACTTGTTTTTGTTTTCGTTTTGTATTTGTAAAATTTAAACGAGGCCGTAGTAATCGGGGGGAATCGATCAGGTGGTGTGAACATCTTGCTGATAGCAGGGCGGATGAACTCGTGCGAGGTGTGTGATGGGAACGTGTCGCACCCACAATCCCACTGCCCATTTCCCGCCCACTTACATACCTCTATTCTATTCTATGCCCCGAATGGGATCCGTATAGTATCTCCTTGGCAAGCTCACAAATTGGCAGCACAGTACTTCCTGCGCTGGCTTTTATTTTGGGTTAAGTGCTGCTGCCGCTGCTGTTATTTATTTTTATACACTCCGAGATGCACTCACTCACTTACTCACTCACTCACTGACTGACTGACTGGCCTGCATTTAATTGAGCAACAAAATAAGGAACTTTGGGCCAAGTTCAAGGCTGCTGAGGTGGATGCGTTTGGAGGCCACTTCTTGGCTAAGCTATAGATCCCGATACCGAAACCGAAATCGATTCAAAAACTCATTGCACAAGTGCTCCTCGGTTCGTAAACGCGGTGCTCGGAATCGCTGCCATTGCCGCCAGCTGCGGAAATCAACTAAACACTAGCACTGAACACTGAACCCCAAACACTAAACACCAAACCGAATCTGAACAGAGCAGAATCGCTGTGAGAATGAAAAGATCGGATCGACTAGCGCCAATCGATCGGCACTACGTCCACGTAATAGCAGAGCATTTCGCTGTTGATTTTAACAGAACTGCTCGCAAAATCGAGAATCGAGATGAGGCATGAGAATCGGGATGGGCCACCCTCGAAATGGTTCTGTTCTACTATATTCTTCCAACCGTAATAAAACTATTTGGTTGCCAAACGTTCCATTCAAATTTCGATTTGACCATCCAACGTGTTGACGTGTGGTTTATCTATGTATGTTTCGATTGACATTGGAAGCCCAAAAGTGGGCAGCACATAGTACTTGTAATTTAATTGGGTCTTATCAACAATACACTCGTACATACTTTATCCAATTTGATTTATTGTAAAGATAAAATACTTAAGTGGTTCGAACCCTTATTATTTATAAACCATAATCTGCTTGGTAATTTCCAAACAATTCAGGTTTTTATTTTTAAAAAAATTTGAAGAAGTTAAGTCCACGCTTTAAAAAAGTAATACCAGCAATTAATTTTTCCTTTTAATTAGTTTATTTCCATTCGAAAGAAGTAATAGTAATACAAGTAGATTTAAACTTCACCAATTGTGTGAAAATCCCTGCGGGAAAATCCCATTGTTCGTAAAGGTACTCTTTTTTTGTAACTAAGAAGGCTAAGGTTTTTGGAAAAATAACTATATACGTAAGTTAATGCACGTAAGAAACAAATTTTTAAAGTATTTAAATTTTTAACCCCTTTTTATGCTTGAGCTACGAAAATGTAATATTTAAATTATTTAATATTCCTTTCCCACGTAGGGTAGAGCGTAGATCCCATTCTGAAAATAGAAATCCAAGCTCAAATACCATTAGTGACTAATAATTTTTTTAAGTGAGTAAGTATGGCAATGTGACATAAATAAATCATTTATTTTGATATATTAATTTGATTGTAAATCAAACTTTTTATAAACTGCTAAATAAAAAAACGGAAAAGTTACTAAAACTGCATGTTTGGGTACTGTAAGATATAGACATCCTCTTTGGTACCAAATAATATTGTCTAGGTACATATGTAGGTACTCTCTGACTGCGGGAGTACCCTATATGAATTCCCGATCCCAGCCAAGTGGTATCTTTCACCACGGGCACACTGGCCCAGGTGCCGGTTTCGTTTCACGTTGCCACTTTCGTTTGGTTTGCTGCCGTTTTATCCAACTGAGGAAGTTTTTGTTTTCCCAAAGCAGTGGAAAATGACGGAAAAGTATGGAAAACTGCAGCAGCAGTTCCTCTGCTGCTATCCCGTGAACAAGATGGCCTGGTCGGTAAGTGGGCACCGGCAACACCATGTTGCCAGCCACCTGTTGCATTTGTATTTATTGATTGCCTTTCCAAGTAGATTGTTTTGTTGTTTAAGATAAAGGCACTGGGTCACTTAAGATAGGTTTTTCTCGAACTATTGATTGACTTTTTTTTTGATGTACCATACGTATTAAGATTATCTTTTTTATTTATCAGGGGTATACATTTATATAAATTCTTTACTTTATGTTTACTAAGTGTTTTGTATACATAATAATTAATGTATACTGTTTTGTGTAGACGGTGAAGCTGCCTTTGAGCTGGGAGGAGCAGCAGGAGCTGATAGCGGCCACTTGTGGCCACCCGCTGAACCGGCGGTATCCGGTGCGCCGAAGTTACCTGGAGGCCTTCCTCAAGCAGCTGATGCACTTGCTCAAGGATCAGGAGGATGTGCACGACGACATCTACAGCAATTTGTGCGTGAGGATGGGCGAGGCGCCAGGATCGGGCACATCGTATGCCTACAAACACTACTTGATGGGTCCAGGAGCCCACATAACGCTCCGTGAATCCAATAGTTTTGTCAGCGAGGGCACCACCGGACTGTGCACCTGGGAAGCCGCCTTGGCTCTGGCCGACTATGTACTGCAGCATCGAGACTTGGTCCGGGGAAAGAATGTAGTGGAACTGGGCGCTGGTGCCGGACTACTGGGCATCCTGCTCAAGTTGCCCGCTTTGGAGCTGAAAGTGGGCCAGGTCCTACTCACCGATGGCAGTGAACCGTGTGTCCAGCTGATGCTCGAGAATATCGCTCTTAATTTTAATGATAAGGAGCAGGAGGAGGAGAAGCCCCAGGCGGAGCAGCTCGATTGGAACTCGGTGAGCGAATTCCCCTGGAAATGCCATGCCGAAACGGATTTACTTCTTGCCGCCGATGTGATCTACGATGACTCCCAGTTCGATGCCCTGCTGGGTGCCCTGGACTACTTCTACTCGAGACGCGGTGGCCAGCTGGAAACCCTGTTGGCCAGCACAGTGCGGAATGTGGACACACTGCACAAGTTTATGGCCCAGCTGGGTGAGTTCCTTTCCCCCACTCCCATGGTAGATAATTGAAATAATATTTATGTTTCTTTGGCTAGGCATTCATGGCTACAAGGTGACTCCCTGCGCAAATGTATCCGCTTGTGCCAGCCACTTTTGTCGAGATCACACCGCCGCCGTTCAGATTATCTCCATTCGACGCTAGTTTTAGTCCTAAAATAAACCGACACCGCAAAAAACAAACACCCACTATCTGTATCTAACTTAAGAACTTTATTGTCCCGCTGTTTGGATTGTAATTAACAGGATTCTGCGGAAGATATGCATCTAAGCCGGTCATTCCTATAGTTTACTTACAAAAAAAAGTTATGTCTGAATGTCCAGATAACTCAACTTCATCAATTACGATAAATTCATTGATCAGTGATCGAAAACCTCGTAAAACCAGTGAAATCTTTGAATTAAGTAAAAAAAATTTTGATTTATTTTTGCTAATTAAACTAAAGAACTTTATTAACCCGCTTTTAGGATTGAATTTAGAAGGATTGGGCGGGAGATGTTCTTCTTTTTTAGCCTCTATTGGCGGTACAGTGTAGTTCCCAAGCTATCGAAAAAAAAATATATATTATACACTGTACATTTATACTGGAAATTCCATTTATTTTTAAGAACTTATTTTCCCTTTTTTTATTTTATTTGAAAAGATCGGCTAAGATAAGCGTCTATTTTATTTGGCCATTCCTATATTTTATTTTATAAATAGTTATGAGGTATTGGAAAATCATTAATCACTGATTTAACGACTCGATTTCAATCAGTGAAGTCTGTGAGTTTCGACTAAAAAATGTTCTTTTAAGAATAATATACATAATAATAATAACATACAAAACTATTTTTCTATAATATTTAATAGTATTGCCAGAGATATTTTTTTTACCTGTAATTCCTATAACATAACATAACATAACTATAACAAATAGTATTGCAAAATCAATGATTAATTATTAAATGTCTCGAGGAAATCAGTGAATTCTATGTTTTTGGCTTGAAAGTTAAATTATTAAAGTACTTTAGAATTTAATTGTTTCTCATTTTGGATAATAATCAACAGAAACTAGAAAAAAACCTTTTATGGGAAGGTCTTAGTTCAGGGAACATCTTCCTATTATTTTTTTGTTATTTAAATCTGAATTCAAACAGAACTTTCGAAATAATTTGAAATTTTTCGTTAAGTTAAAACTAGTTATTTTTAAATTGTTAGATACATTTTTCTGCATGTACAATCAAATGGAATACGTGAGTTTCGACTGAAAAGTCGATCTCATTTTGTTTAATTACCATTTTTCCATCGCTTGACATTTAATTCTGAACTCAACCCGAAATTCAGCATTTTGATGAAAGTGAAAACCTAGTTACTTATAAAACTGTTAGATAAATTTATCTGAATGCACAATCTTATCGACCAGTAAAAAAGGATAATCAGTGGAATGTGTGAGTTTCGACTGAAAAGTCGATTTATTTTTGTTTAATTAAATACTGAGTATATCTAAATGTAATTCAAAAATGTGCCATTTGGCGGTATTCCCACTCCCAATCACTGATTGATGGTGGGAATGGTGCCGTCGTTCAGCCAGCGGACGTTGAGCTGCTCGATCTGGTGCTTCATGAAGATGATGCCGTACACCTCGTACTGGATCTCCAGCAGCTGGGCGCGGTGCGTCCTCGGCAGTTTCATGCCGACCACGAGGGCCAGCAGCGAGGTGATGATCATGAAGACGAATCCCTGGGCCATCAGGGTGCTCGAGTCTCGGGCATAGAAATAGGAGTTCTTCGCGTCCGCCACGAAGTAGAAGTACACGACACTGGTGCAGATCATTTTCAGGATGTAGGACGCACTCACGATGCACTCGGTGAAGCGCAGGTGGGTCACCTCCAGCAGGGCGATCTGCTGGCTGGAGTAGGCCAGGCCGAAGAGCACCAGGAGCAGCCACAGTGACCAACGCGACTCCGTCACGCTGCAGAGGATCAGGGCCAGCAGGGTGCAGAAGACCAGTGCCACCTGGGATCCCACAAAGGTGACCTTCACCGAGAGGAACCACTGGCAGATGGGGGCTAGCAGGCTGCCGCCGAAGATCACCCAGAACATGGCATCGATGCCCGAGAACTGGGTCAACCGGATGGCCGGATTCAGGGCGAACCAGTACACAAAGTACACGAACAGGGCAAACTGGATGGCCTCCGTGAAGAGCAGGAGCAGCATCATGTTCCACTGCTGGTTCTTGGTCACATAGAAGAACTGCAGCCGCTTGATCACCTCGTCGCGGCTCTCGAAGATGCTGCCATTGGAGTTGGCGATGCGCAGGTCGTTGTCCATGCTGTTCGCCAGGTCCACGCTGCCCAGGAAGTGCAGCACCTTCTGGCCGACGAGGATGGCCAGCATCACGGCGGCCACACTCAAGTACGTTCCGGCGAAGTTCACATAGATCCCGTCGATCAGCTGCTCCGTAGTCGCCGTCGTCGCCTGCCCCTCCCACTGCTCCACATTCCGGCTGTAGGCGGCCACGATCAGGCTCACCGCCGAGGCCACGCCCAGAAGGTAGCAGCTGCAGCTGGCCGAGATCAGGAGCGCCCGGCTGCCCTTCGAGCTGATCGTGTGCAGGAAGCTGTAGCCGGCCACGAAGGTCGTGCTGTGCGCCACGTACGAGATGTAGGCTCCAACGTGGTCTGCAACGGAAAATTGGGTAGGACTTTGAGTAAGGGATGCTAGGGCTTCTCAACAAAACAATCTAAACTGATAAAAAATTAATTCAAAAAATGTAATATCTGGCTATTAGGGCCAACATTTTATAATTCGTATTTAAATTATAAATACTATCATCATATTAAATACAGTATTTAAAATATTTGAATTAATGTGATTAATGTGTCCTATTTTATTTATTTATTCTATTTATTATTATTTCGTTAACAGTTTTCCTTAACTGGCTACTTATAAATAAATCATATCATAACCACTTATAAACTAGATCTTAAAACAAAAAATTCTTTAAAGAATATTTTTTAAAAAATACCTATTGTAATAGCATAAGGCTCTGCAAATTGGGTAATTTTTTGAATAATAATAATAATAATAATAATATTAATTTAGTTAAATCTGGCTTAACTTTAAATTAAATTTGTTAGATATAAAAATCTATTTATAGTCAACAAACTTTTAAAACAATTTTAAATTTCCATATTTAAAAAACCTAACAACCAAAATCATATATATCGAAAAACGAAAAATATATAAATTGAAAATGAAAAATTTACTACATTTGTACTTTCAAATCAATTTATAAGGAAAAACAAAAGTTTGTAGTTTTTATTTAGATTTTTTGTTGCTAAAAAATAATTTTAAAATACAAAAATTTATTTTTCGGTTTTTTTTGGGATTAAGCAATTTTTCTTAAGGGAAAATATTTCGGATTTTTTTGTGATTGAGTTTTTTCTTAACATATTTTGGATACCGATTTTTTTTGGTTGAACAGTTTTTTTAAGACTTGTAATAGAATCAAAGCCAAATAGTTTAAAATAATAAAATGTCACCGTTAGCATTCTATATAAACATTTCATATTTCATATTGTCTGTATAAGCCAAACCCATAAAATGTGGTTAATGTTTAAGCATGAAAACTTTTTGGAATTAAAAAAATAAATTGGCATATGAAAACAGTTTCGTTAACAAAGAAAGAATAATTGCAGAATCAGCACTATCTTAGGCATTCTAAAATATTTTATAAAATGCCTCACTCCAAATTAATTTTAAAAATATTTATTAGTAATAAGAAAAATTCTTCGTTTCATAAATTTAAAACAAGTCTTCGTTTCATAAATTTAAAACAAGTCGTCACAGTAACATTTATAATCAGGGACCGTAATCACAATTTAATAAATATTTTTTGAGCAAACAATAATTATTATTTGGCTTATAGCTCACAAAATAATCATTACTGTTTAAACCGAAAAAAATGTTTTTAAATATCGTAATAATATTTTTTAATTCATAAATTGTAATTATTTTTTGTCAATCAATTTAATAAGGAAATCATACACATGTGCCCAACCCATTGAAATCATATCCGTTGATTAAATACTTTACTAATGACTCACCAAATCCGTCGGCAAAGTAGAAGCAGCTGGCGATTAGATTGAAGACTCCGGCGGAGAGAAGCAGCCATGGCTGCCAGTAGACGATGCACTTCTTCACAAACTTGACCGCCAGCATGGCCAGGGCAGTGAGGAGCGCCCAGCAGGCGCCCAGGATCAGCGGTCCATAGTAGATGAGGCCCGCATTTAGATTCCGTTGCGTGACAAAGGCACAGATCGTGTAGCCAAAGATCATGCCGCAGGGCAGGAAGCTCAAGCAGACTGGGAATAATTGGGATATACTGTCATCGCAGGAAGAACTCCCTCAACAAGTTGACTCACCCACATAGCAGGGTGCATATTTGAAGAACTTCAGCACCAGTTTACCCCACACGTTCGACATGTTTCAGGAGAAGATTATTCAGATTATTCCAGCGGGGTGGTAAGTGGAGGAGCTTAGAGCATTTTTGTGGAGATGCCCACGATGAGCACCCAGACGCAAATGGGCCAGTTGAAGTCCATCGGCTAAGTCGACTGCGACAAAGGCGGCCAAGATAAGATAAGATAACCCGACCAGGTGCATATGTGTGGCCATGGTTACACCGAGAGAAAAGTTCAACATTTGTGTTTTTCAGAGAAATTGCGACTTACAATATTTTCGTATTTTATGTGTCTTGTATTTTATAATAGCAAGGGTTCGGAGTTTTTACTGATTTTGTCTAAACATTTTAGATACAAAAATTTAACCGGAATTGTTTTTTAACACCTGAGGTAAAATAATATTATTAGCACAAACAAAAAAAAATTTGGATGTCTAAGATTTAATGGTTTGGGTTCTGTGTTGATAACTTCAATATGTATAGTGTATTTATCACTTAAAATATATAAGGGTCAGCTCAGATTTAATAACTTAATACACAAACACTGATCAAAAAATTAAATAATACAAATAAATAAATATAAACTATTCAATTGAAAAGTTTATATTTAGTTTTTAAAATAAATATTTAATCATAATATCAAATGCAATACATATAAAATGGCATGACATAATATCAAATTATTTTAATAAACATGAAAAATAATATATTATTTTAGAATCATTTGATTTCAATTAAATATGGTTTCAATTTGAATTAAATCTTGCGATATTAAAATCATTTTCTAAAATATTCAAATAAAACATTTTAGGAAATTTTAATATTTTGATATTTGAAAAAACTTAAAATCAAATCGAAAAATATTTAAATTGAGTACAAAATATTTGGATTTACTGCTCTTTGTTTGTATAAATTTTGAAGTTTATCTGGTCAAACTCGAGCTATGGATTATATCAAAGATGGAGTTATATGGACATAATATTAAGGACTAATAAAGCAAAAGTTTTTATCCCCAGTGTATCTCCGTTTGAGTGACTAATGCCGCAGTGGAGTAAGCCACTTGGCCAGATAAACAGATGTCCACCGTTTGGTTTTGATAAGTCCCTCGGGAGTTGGCTGTCGACTTAAGTGAGGGCCCCTAATGTTCAGTTTACCCTCAAGAAATGTACATATTTTTGGCTACTTCCTTGCATACATCGACCCACAGAATAAGACTATGAGTCTATTCGCTTGCTAAGGCTTAAAATTAATCTTGAATGGCTAATAGCGATAGGGAATTCAGACAATCAAACGTCCGGCGATAAAGCTTGGGAAATTGATTTCAATTGAATATTATATGCCAGTGGGTATTTTATCAGTCATAAGTGGGCGTTTTGGTTTGGTGGCCGCGGGGCTGGGGGGGTTGGGGGGTGATTTAGGTGGGCGGGGGTAAGTTCTAAGTTAGTTTGTTTACCTTTGAGCAGACAATTGATTGCAGCCGAGAGCGAAAATCAGAGAGAGGCGGAGAGTGAATGAGTAAATATAGGGCTGTGAAGAGAACAAGGTGGATTCAATTGTAGGATGGCATTCCCAGTTAGATTTCTCTTTAATTTTACTGAACCTTTAGTTTATGCACCACTAAGCAAGATAGTTTAAAAAATTGTTAACTAGCAAGAATATTAACCTTTTCTACACTCTTTCCCATTTATTTTATAATTCCGAATATCTTATTATGTTACCTATCTTTATTAAAAACTCTTTTTTTCAAACTCTCAATGGAATTTATAAAGGCAAGAGTCGTTTTAACATTCAAAACACACAAAGTAGACGCTTTAGGTTACACAAAACGCATGTTGTTGAAGACATGCAAAAATGCCTCCTCATTTAAATAATTAAGAGGCTTTGCTATAACTTATATGCAAAGAAAAAAAGTATATATCTTATTGATTCATTAGCTTTTGATTAACACTATTACAGGAGCAGTTAGGAGTTGGAATATTTCTAAATTTATTATTTTCTAATCTCATACCGACACAAACTTTTATAAAGTCGTTCTGATTAGGAAAGTTGTTAGTGATAGATGTGCTTTACATTATATTCGATTCCAACCGCATTTAGTTTGAAGTGATTTCTGGACCATACTGCACTATAAGATTTTAAGCACATTTAAGTAATTAAGCATTAATTCTTGATCATCTGCACGTTGTATTGAAATAATAAGGTTTAATATCTTATCTATTTTATAAAATACAAATTAAAATACAAAAATTGATTATTAATAATTTTTAAAACTATTTTATAATACTATGCCTAAGCTTCATGAAAATATAAAATAAAAATTTGAAAAGTTTCCAAGGCTAAGACCCTACTATATTTTTCATGACATCAGCTGTATATATTTGTGAAGCAGTTGTTATCGATCGCCTAACAGCACTCTGTTAGGTTGCAAAATACGCAAAACTGAACTTCAAACGGAATGAAGTTAAAATCTGTGACGTCACAGAAGGAAAGCAACTTGGCAACTAGCGAGAGCGAATTGCATAAGCGTGCTTTTTGCGAGAGAGGGAGTGGCCAATGCGCCTGTCCGCTTCCCAGGCGATTCCCAAAATCCCAAAATCCCGGAACCCCCCACCGTAACCTCCACCCATCCAAATCCACACGAACGGCGGACCAAGTCGCGATTATCCGCTGCCAGGGCACCCCAATGTCTTGGCCCGGCCTTATCCCTGGCTTTCACTTCCGGCACTCGGCAGCGACGACAACTACAGCAGCGAAGTGCCAGGTTTACCACTAGCACCAGCACCAGCACCAGCACCACCCCCACTTTCTACTTTCCCATTTCACCAACCACCGCCGGTTAAGACCGCCCGGCGATTGCAAATCGGAATGCTGCATTCAGTGCTCCGGGGTTAGTGACTCGCAATGGAATTCGGCGGAGATTCCATCAGATGCGCGACCCGGATACGGATAGGGAAGTCATAGCCATAGCCATAGCCATAGCCACAACCATAGCCATAGCCATCGCACCCAGTGACCATGATTGTGATGAGCATCTGGTGCAGCAGCCTCAGCTTGAGCAGCCGCAGCCTGGCCATCGCCGTCGTCGTCAGCGTGACTCTGCTCTACTTCTCCTACAGCTTCAACGCCTGCCTCTTGGCCAGCATAAGTCGCAGTTTGCAGCAGGTAATTGACTATTACCATAAATCGCCAACAAAAAAATATAAGGTATTTTTTCATGCCCCGTAAACGGATCTTAAAATATAAAGACTAGTTTACAAAATGTATTCTATAAAACGTTGCAAAAACGAATGCAAAATGTCAGAGTGAATCAAAAAAGACACATAAAGAGTTCTTTATGGTAACATTTTTTTTCAAGTGTAACTTACGTTTCTCACCTGGTATTGTGCTTATTTTGTTATATCCAAATTCATGGTAAAATAATATGTGGTCATTCAAACACGTTATAGAAATTCGTTTGTTTATATGGAATAAATGGTACAATTCATGAGACGCCACAGAAAAGTCCACCATTAATTAAAGATGTGAAAAACGTTAACTACACTTTAAAAGGAAATGTAACCATGGGTGTTTTCTTAATCGTTTGTTAAGCATTTTATTCAAAACATGAAAGGAAGCAAACTTCGGCAAGCCAAAATTCATATACCCTTGCAGCTATTGCAAAAGTTAAATATTCTTGAAAACAAAAAAAATTATATTTTACTTGCTCATATGTTTAAAAGCATTGAAGCTATGATGATTTGCAGCTCAATTATTTGATAGTTCCTATGGCAGCTATATGATATCGTTTTTCGATTTTAATAACTCAAAAAATATAACAAAATAGAAAAGTGAAAAGGTTTATAAGAAACGTGCATACTACCATATTAAGGAGATTTTGTTATAATTAGAAGTGAAAACTAATGTTCGGGGGAAAAGTTAAACATATGTACATAAATAAACTCTCAATTTTCTGTCATGTTTTAAAGAAGTTATTCAGAATCGGAAAGGAATGATAAGAATGATATCTGCCTTCATTAATGACTTCGTACCATTGGGATTAAGCCAATTTTAAATTTAATTAAAACGTTTAAAAAAAATTATAAATTGACAAAGGTAACCCCACATTAAAGTCTTCTAGCAAACTGACAGAATAGATAAGATTTAATGCCAGAATTATTATTATTAAATCGATGTTCAATGGCACCTTTAAGTTACTCCCTTTTTGTTGGGAATGTGTGTGTGAATATGTATTGACCTCTGACCTCTTCCGCATAGAGCAACATACGCAACCTGCTGGCACTCACCTCCTCGACCCGCAACGACACTAGTGACGAAGGCAACAGCAGCAGGAGCAGCAGAAGCAGCAACAACTCCTCCGTCTCCCCCGTCTCCCCCGTCTCCTCCAGCAGTGCTCCTCCAGCCCAGACGGTCACCAGCAGCCTGGATGGGGCGCCCAAGTATCAGCTGCTCCGGCAGCAGGGCCTCCGACCGTCGCGCCACCTGCCCGACACGCTCATCATCGGCGTGAAGAAGAGCGGGACGCGGGCGCTGCTCGAGTTCATCCGCCTGCATCCGGACGTCCGGGCCGCCGGCTCCGAGGTGCACTTCTTCGACAGGCACTATCAGCGCGGCCTGCGCTGGTACCGCCACCACATGCCGTACACCATCGAGGGCCAGATCACCATGGAGAAGACGCCCAGCTACTTTGTCACCAAGGAGGTGCCGCAGCGCGTCTACCACATGAATCCGGCCACCAAGTGAGCACCTTTTACCTCGTAAACACGATTGCGGTCAAAACAATAGTAGTTATTTAGCTCATAGAAAAAGCCATTTTTTTTGTATATCTTCTTAAAGCTAATACTATAAATAGGGCAAATATAGGGAAAAACATTTCCCAAAGGTATAAAGTTGAAAAATATTTTTAAAAATCTTGATTAAAAAAAATATTTAAATTTTTTAATTTTAAAAATCAATCAGATATTAAAATCATTTTAATTCCAATATGACTATTTTCTTAAATTGTTATAAAATTAATTACCACAGTATACTGAAAAGTGAGTTTTAGGGAATGTTTAACAGTTTTTATTTTCCTTGAAAAACTAAAACTTTACATTGTTCCTCTACTGTTATTTTGACCGCAGCTATATGTATATGTCGATTGGTCTTTAAGTTTAACACTCATACGCACTGTTGCCCTTGATGAAATACTTTACTTTCGGGACCGAAAATAATGGTTATTTGAGACTTTTATTTTTGTTAAACATACTCTTTTTCCCTTGCGTATCAAACTGTACAAAAAAAATCAGGAAAATGGAAAAACAATTAACATTTTATTCAACCTGTCTAAAAATCAGACAAATTTGAAACCACATTAATTTTAAAATTCTAACTGGCTTATGTTTCGTCTGAGTAATTTGTATAGAAACTTTAAGACCATTTTCCAATTATTTAAGCTTTTAATATAATTGTTCGATTTTTTAATACCCATATCACAAAAAAAACAACCTTATTTAATTTTAAACGAAAGGTTTTTACTTAAAAAGGTGTCAATAAGTAAATTACAATATATTTTGAGTCCGAAAGGCTTTAAAAATAAATTAAATTAAATGGAAGATAGTGTGATTCATTTTTAAAGACACCTTTTTATGTAATTTCAAAACTCTATTTATTTCTGCGGTACCCCCAATTATTTTAAAATTAAATGTATTTTGGATATAACATAATTTAATTTTTGACACATCTAAAAGATAAAATTATATGTTAATATATTATATATCGTTACATGTACAGATTGCTGATTGTGGTGCGGGATCCGGTGACGCGGGCCATTTCGGACTACACGCAGGCGGCGAGCAAGAAGGCGGACATGAAGCGCTTCGAGCAGCTGGCCTTCGTCAACGGAAGCTACGCGGTGGTGGACACCAACTGGGGCCCGGTGAAGATCGGGGTGTACGCCCGCTTCCTGGAGCGCTGGCTGCTCTACTTTCCGCTCTCGCAGCTGCTCTTCATCAGCGGCGAGCGGCTGATCATGGACCCCGCCTACGAGATCGGCCGCGTCCAGGACTTCCTCGGCCTGAAGCGCGTGGTCACCGAGAAGCACTTCTACTTCAACGCCACCAAGGGTTTCCCCTGCCTTTTCAAGTCGGAGGCCCGCTCCACGCCCCACTGTCTGGGCAAGACGAAGGGGCGGAACCACCCGCACATCGATCCCGGGGCCATCGAGCGGCTGAGGGAGTTCTACCGGCCCTTTAACAACAAGTTCTACCAGCTGACCGGCATCAACTTTTCCTGGCCATAGGACAAGAGGCTGGGTGAGTTTCTTTCACCCGACAAGAAAAGAAGCAATCTTCGGCAAGCTGAAGTTTATGCAATCAATCTATGGCGATTTCTCGATGCATTTTTCATCGTTTCAATGGCAATTGTATGATATCGTTGTCCGATTTTAATAAATCTAAAACCGTAATTCTGAAATTTCATTTATTTTTCCGATTGTTCCAATGGCAGCTTTATGATATAGTCGTCCGATCCAGTTTCATTAAAGTAGCTCAAGACCTGAGGTGTTGAAACGGACGGACAGACGCACAAACGGACACGATGCTGATCAAGAATTTATATACTTTATAGGGTCGGAAATATCTTCTTCACTGTGTTAAAACTTTTGCCTGAAATTATAATTCCCTAGGCAAGAATATAAATAACATATATATAGAAATTCGAGGTGTAAGAACCTTAATTTATATAATATTATTAAGGAGGGTGCCACAGAAATCACGAGGGTCTTGAAATCATTTCAAAAGGTTAGCTGTGGCATTCCCAATATTCTTATATTTGAAGTGATTAGTTATATATATGAATCGAAAATCCAAATCATGGTCGACTATTTTAATTTCGAAAATAGGGAAGTCTCTTATATGTTTGTAATATTTTTTCAGACTAGTATAAATACTTGTTCTATTATATGAGATCGTAACTTTGATATTAGGCCATTTTTATCTTCTTAGGTAATTTTTTTTTGGGTGTTCTCTAATGTTTTATTATTTTAAAAATTATTGACAAAACAAGATAGTTTCGGTATGCAGAAGCTTATATATCCTGCAACTATAAAAAAGCGTATTATTCATTTAAAATGAGACTTCTTTGTATGTGTTTCAAAACAATAAATCTACTTTCCGGTACATTTTCGATCGTTCCTATGGCAGATACCTATATGGTTTAGTTGTTGGTTTATAACAATTTAAAACTTTTTTAAAAACGTATATGTTGAAAAACAACCATGTTAAGTGATATTTCTTTTATATCCTGTTGATTTTTTCATCTTTTCTTGAACAGCAATATGCTATAATCGCCCGATGTACATAAAGTAAAAAACCTATTTTTTTTAAATATAAAAAAAATCAACTCGTCAAGTGATGCCTATAGAAAGAATATATGTACTTACTTACTTTTCACTGCAATTAAATAATATTCTGCAAGGGTATACAAATGGCAAGGACTCAAGGGGCAAATCTGGGGTATTAGGGGTCATATTCAGTTCACTTTTACCTCGATGTTGGTTAAAATGATTCCCCTAATATGTGATCTTATTTATGTTTCAGTATATGGCCGGCATGCGGTAAACCAATGGAGTTAAATTTAGAAAAAGGAGACATTGTTGTTGCTGGCTAGGCAACGGACTGATATTGTTGATTGCATTTTTGATACATACAATTGTACTTATATATAGTATATACACACACGTAAACTTAGTGCTCAATTAATTGTAGCTTTATCGGGAGACAAATTCAACGAAGTGCGTCCTACACGAAGTATGCACTCAAAAACAATACGGTTCCTCTATCCAATTCAAATGAAAATCAACACACACTTTTCCCCACTATACTCGAAAATCACACACATATGCCTAAGATAATTATGTGCATTTATATACAAATAGTGAACAAATAGAGCTTACTACGAAATTCCTACAGTCTCCTATATAGTATATATTGAATACATATTATATAAATAGTTCCAAGAATTTCAATTGCATGACTCAACCAATACAATTGCTTAGCTAATTTCAATTAAAACACAACCTAAATAAATCGACTTTAAACCAAATCAAATTAATTAATTTATTAATTGCAATGGTATCGTCTTACTGTCCATTCTCCCAGTTTGCCATCAAAATAGTAAATCCGAGGTGTTCAGTTTTGTAAATTTATTGATTTTATTTTGGTTTTTAAATTGTTTGTGAACGATTCACGTTATTCGCTTTTCTTGCTTTGTTTTCAACGTTAATGATAATTTCTTGATTTAAGGATTCTGTGGTCTTGTTCTTTCTTGTTCTTTCTTTTGCCACTAGATTTTAATTTCTCTTTTTTTTTCGTTTTAAGTACAATTGATTAAATAAATCGCGGTGGTTCGTGGTTGTTTCTTGTTGCTTTAAGGTATTCATCCAATTTGCCTTCGTTTGTTTGCTTTTATACAGTATGTTGGTAGATATATTTATTATATTAGAAAATTATATATTATTTTTTGGGATTTTTTGATGTTTGTTGGTGTTTTCTGCTTAAGGTTATGAATTTCATTAAAAATAACTATGCATAAGTGGTGATCGTAAAAGTAACTATGGTAATAACATTAGGCGTAACGAACTAGGTGAAAATAACTTAATTCCTATAGTAGGGTGTGCCTAAAACTAGGTAGCTACATGTTCTTTGATTTGATATATTACAATCATCCGATTGATTTCGGTTTCGATTTCGATTTCGGTTTAGGAAGGCGGGCGGGCGGGCGTTTTAAAAATGAGATGTGGAGATGATGAGTGGAGGACAACTGAACTTCTGGACTACTGGACAAAACTGGACTACTTCAGCTGATCTTCGCCGAGTGTGTCGAGGAGCTGGCGCCAGCTGGCCACTCCCACACCGCCAGATGCTCGTCTCGCTATCGCCACCTCATCGAGAACCGCTTCCGATTTGGAGCTCTGCAAACGCTTCTCGCAGTAGAGGCTGCCCACCGGCTTGGCCATCGATGCCGCCAAGCTTTTGGTCACCGTGGAATAGTGCAGGGCCGACGAGGATTCATGGCCACCACCGGCTATGGTGGGCGACACTGCCTGCGCATCAGCGCTCACCTGACGCTGCAGTATCGGCACAGCCTGTGTGGGCGAACTCTTGCCTCCTCCTCCTGATGCTCCGGCTCCTGATGCTGCTGCTGTTGGCGGTGGCGGAGTTGCCTGGCTGCGATCCTTGATGGGAAACTTGTTCTTGGTGCAGCTCAAGTCCAGCTCCAGCGTGTAGAAGCGTCCGCGAGTGTACTGCCGGTTTTCGTTCCTCAAAATTGTACCGGCTTCATCCGATGCACTGGCCGCTCCAGCGGAGGTGGCCACACCTACACCTCCTGCTGCTGCTCCTCCTCCGGTTGCTCCAACACCTGCAGCTGGCTGCTGGCTGATTGTGCAGATGCTACTGCGATTGCTGTTCCCGGTGGGCAGGGCTGTGTGGGCGGTGGTCACCGAGCTGGCCTGCGTGCCCGCCCCACTACCGTCGCAGACATCCTCGCCGGCGTCGTCGTCGCCGTCGCCGTCGGAACTGGACAGCGAGCTCTCCGTGTCGTCGATGTGCAGCTGATTCCGTGGCTTTGCCTTCACCTGGGCATTGGCCGGCTGAGCGGCCGGCGAAGACTTGGTTATGCGGGGCGACTGGTCCATTATAAGGTTCTCCCAGCTGGTCTCGTACACGCTGGCCAATTGGGCCGCCGGCTTGGGCTTGAGGATCATGGCCTTGAACGGCATGGCCTGCATTGTTGCGGGCGGCGAGGCCAGTGGCTTCTCGTCGTCGGGAAACTTTCGCGCCCCGATTATCAGCTGCGGCTCCACGTAGAACGAGTCGAAGTTGAGGTCCAGGAAGAGCTCCTGCAGGAAGCGGCGGGCAATCATGCGATAGCTGCTCCTGCCCAGCGTCTTGCAGGACTCCGAGTAGAGACAAATGTCCTATAATGCAGTGGATAACTTATCCTGTTTGCTGTACAACTTAACTTTGTTAAGCACAAGTTCTCACCTGAAAGGCGTGCGGATGCTTCTGCTTAAGCTCCAGCAGCGCCATCTTCGACTGCTTGGCACTGACGGGATTGGCCAGCCGCTGCACATTGTACAGTATGGAGGCCGTCAGCCTGTCCGGCAGGCTGTCCTCGCTCAGCATGCTCTCCGGCGAATGGAAGCTTATGTCCGCACCCAAAGCGGCTCCCGACGTCGCGCCTCCCGCGGCGGACGATCCCGAGCTCTTCTTGGCCAGAACAGGTCCGGCCTGGATGCCGGCCGCCACAAGGGCGGCTGCCGCACTGCTGTACAGTTCACAGGGGGCCAGGGAGGCGCCACCGCCACCACCGACGCCACCATTGCTCTGGCCAACGCTGTGGTCGTGACCCGACTGCTGTCTTGGCGAGCGGGCGCAGTGGAGGCACTGACTCCGCGCATGCTTGGCGCCCTGCTGCCACTGACGCGGCTGGCGACGACTGGCGGAGGAGACGTCCGACAGCGAGGATATCACCGAGGACTCGTCGCCGCCCTCGTTGGTCAGTGAGTCGTTGAGGAACGGCTGCCGACCAATGCTGCCCAGCAGATTGATGCCCATCAGATCCTGGTCCTGGATGTCGCGCGACACGTACGTCCGACTGAGGTTGCGTGTGGGAAACAGGTCCAGCACGTTCTTGGGCAGACAGATGCCCGCGTAGCACGGCCCCTGCAGGTCGTTCTGGGGCAGGAACTTGGGGGCGTTAAGCGTGGGCAGCAGCACGTTCAACTCGTCCGCGGAGAGACGTCTGTAAGGGTGTAAAATACGGATTGAGTACCATCCACTACTACTTATCATACCCGTTACTCGTTAGGTAAAAGGGTATTTTTTGTTAGTTGAAAAGTATATAACGGGTAGAAGTCGAGCCGATCTAGCCATGTCCATCTTTCTGTCTGTCTTTTGTCCGTCTTTTTGTCTGTTTTTTCGTCCGTCTTTTGGTCCGTCTTTTGGTCCGTCTTTTTGTCCGTCTTTTTGTCCGACTTTCTGTCCGTCTTTCTATCCGTGTTTTTGTCCGTCCTTCTGTCCGTCTTTCTATCGAATACCACAAAAGCCAGACAATTGGATTAAACCTGCAGATTTTAGTAACGCCTATCAAGTATTTAATTTATTTTAAAGTTTTGACACTCCCACTCTTACGCTCATTAATTTTGAAACTTTTTCATGGTGAGGCCAGCTATTGAGCGGTTTATGTTTATTCGGTCAATATCAATCGACACACCAAAAATGTTCCAAACCGAACCAATATTTTAGAAGTTATTAAGCATTTTTAAATTATGACGTCACTGCATAGAGCGAAAGAGAGCGAAAAACTATAAGCGGGGGCGGGGGTAGCAAAGTTGACCCTGCAATCCGACAGATGGCGTCGCCTATTTACTTTTAACTTTGTCAAGCTGTCTTTGTTCTTGTCTACTCATTCCCTACCATGCGAAACTCACCTGTAAACCTCATTCAGCTTGGGCTGGCGGTCCAGACTGCGCACCTTGAGCCGACGATGGGCATGGGTCCAGTCGGGCCGGCGCATCTGCACCTCGGGTGTGCCGATCATCTCGGCGAAGTCGTAGAACGCGGCCGCCGACTCCGAGAAGACGGGTCGACTGTGGGCGCGCAGGGAGCGCAGCTGGGCATAGCCCTTCATGGCCATGGGACTGAGGGTGGAGGGCAGCAGACTGGTGGCCAGCTGGTGACGCCGGATCAGCTCGTCGCTCTCCAGCAGATTGGACATGCTCGGAATGGGACTCAGCGGGAATTGCTGGAAATCGCTCATGTTGGCCGCTGCTGCGGCGGCCGCGGCTGCAGTGCGCCCGGTCACCGATTCGCAGCTGCTGACGCCGGAAGTGTTCGAATCCGTGCAGGAGTTGTACCGTATGCGATGCTGGTACGGCATGGGATAGAGCCCTGCCCCCGGCATCGTGGTGGCTCCGCCGCCGAGCAAGCTAATCACATCCGTGGTCTTCGACTCGGAGAGCGAGCGCTGGTGCTTGCCCTGGCGCAGGTTGCTGCCCTCCGGCAGAGTCTTCGACTTGGCGGCCACCCCAGCCAGGCTGGCCAACATTCTGGGATGCACATCGTCAGTTGTGGTGCGAACGCTATCCGTGGTCGTGGTTGTTGTGTTCGGATCCTGCACCGTGGGATGAAGGCCTCCCGTGGTTCCGGACATGGCCACACCGCCGGCGCCTGCACTCGACTCCGTCTGGTCGCCCAGCAGATTCCAATAGTAGGAGCCCGTGTAGTAGAACCCATCGATCTGATCCTCCAGCATCGTCAGGTTGTCCGCCGGCACATCCTCGTAGTAATGTCGCACCGGTGTGTACTGGCTGGACATCCAGTCCTCCGGCTGATGCACTGGCCACATGGTATTCCTGTCATGTCGCACGCTCAGCCAGTCTGCCAAACATGCAGTTTTATATTTAGGCATTTAATTCAATAATCAGGTAGGCATATGTGGGCATATGCACTTACTCAGTTTAAAAAGTATATTGGCTCCTGCTTGGGTGCCGGCAATAAGTCCCAAGGCACTAAAACAGGTGGCTCGCACCGAGTAGACCTCGCACTTGGTCACCAGCACAATCAGCTTCTCATAGAGTCTACGAATATGGGGAATTACATTGAGTACAATTCAATAATAAGCATAAAAAACCACTTGTTCACCTAGCATTCACTTCCACAAAGTATTCAATTCCATTGGCATGGGTTGAGGCGTGGGCCAGTGCCCAGATGGACGCCTTCAGGTCCAGGCACTCGCCGTCGTCCGAGCACTTGGCCCGTGTGAGCAGCTCGAGGAGCTGCGGCAGATCGCCGTGCTTCCGCAGCGCCGTCATTCCCTGGGCAGTCTGCGCCATCTGGCCGTAGAGATGGGGGGCAATGTTGGGCGGAACAGTCTGTGGTCTCTGGTTGCAGTTGCGCCGCGAGTAGTAGCCATCCTCGTTGCGGATGTGCAGCGTCAGGCTGGAGTGGGTGTCGGCCTCGACCAGGAGCACGTAGCGCTTGTTGTACCCGTTCCGCCAGTACCGGATCTCATCCACGATCTGCGCC